CCGAGCTTGTCAACACAGCGTTGCGAGGGTTTGTCCGCCTATTCATTCAATCAGCATCAGTATCTGGCTTGTGGGAAGAGTAGGTCCTATGTGCGAATAGTCGGGTAACAAGGCAGTGTGAATCGCTCCTGATTGTGTGACACATCACAGACAGGGCGATGATAGGCAAGAATCTAAAGAATATCTTGGCCCATATTTCAAGGCAAGGATGATTACTTACTTGGAGGCTGCGAGCGACACTTTCGACTGCCATCTGCTCGCACAGCTGCTCTGAGCGTTCTTTCCACCATGCCGTACGCTCGCTGGTATCAACTAGATCTGTCGGCTGCACGAGGATATCAGCAGGCTGGGTCTCTGGATGCGTTTCTGGTGGGCTACTGCTGCTGACGCAGGGTTCGTGTCTTTCCATTGCATTTGCGGAGCTCTTGTCCCTTGGCAGGCCCGGTGATGGAATGGACTGTGGATCCAAGCATCCATCAATGCCGTTTGCCTGATTGGTTTGGCAGGCCTCGAGGTCGTTCACGTTGCTCTCGGTGCTTGTTCCTTCGTGAGGTGGAAGTGAATCAGCCTCGTTATGTCTAGATGGGATCGCAGTCAAAGAAGACAGGTTCAGATCTATGTTTTGAACCTCACTACCGGATTCATTATTGTCATATGGTGGCCCCGACTCAAGGGCGGTGTCAATGACATTGTGCATTGTAATCTTGATGATAGGGCCATTCACAACCTCGTGGCAGTCAGCGTGCTCGAGATGGTCAACATCAGGAGCCTCTTGGGTTGGGATATCCAGGGCATGACCGATTGGATCTTCCGTCGAGTTCTCCACGAAGCCCTCAAGCTTTTTTTTGTCAGACTCATGGGCCGACTTATCGATGTACTCAGGGCATTTGTTGCTTGGGCTATTGATGGCCTTCTCCACGGCCCTATTTACTGGTCGATTAAGGCCTTCGGTGACATTTGTACCGTGGGGGTCACTGAGACGCCTTTTGCGAAGCTCACGAGGAGGCTCCTTGGTGGACGCAACGGTCAGTTGGTCGATGCGGTTGACCGACACTTCGACAGCCACGTTCACAGAATCCGTCACATCAGTCATCCGCTCGTCAGTGATATCGTGGCTAATCTGAGTAGACTGCGAGGTCAATTTCTTGACACTTTGATTCGGATGCTTGTCGCGAGTCTCTTCCACAAGCTTTGGCGTTATATCGCGAGGCTCGCAAGCCTGTTCGTTCCGGCAGTAGTTGCCGGATCCGGTCAATCGATCAGTAGGCGTGATCCAGTGGCCCATGAAGCCAGCCTCAGCAGACGGAGATTTTTCCGGCGTAGACAGTGGCAGACAGGCTGTGAACGAGGTTCCAATCAATGCCCCATTCTCGCCCTGGAGATAGGATGGACCCCCCGAGCCAGCATTACGTTCGTCGAAACCTTTCGCCTTGCAAACTACTGGCGTCCATGACCCGCCGCCAAGACCCGGAAAGACTGCCTTTCGGGTGCTCAATGGTATCACTTGTCGTGGGCACGGACAGGTATCTTGGCCGAGATTATAGAGAAGCCCACCCGTAATCGGACACTTAGCTCGGTGCAGAGTGACTAAGTAGTGGACTTGCGTGCCACACAGCTCCGCAAAGTCTAGGCCGTGACCTGTAGTGAAGAATACCGTCGGTCCGTCGACTGTTTGCTGCAGACGGATTAAGCGTGGCATCTCGCGCAACTTCTGGTGAGCCTTCCGCATCAAGTTGCGCACAGCAGCGTCCGGAAAGAATGCACCTTTGGTAATTGAGCTGCGAATGATAGTTATGGCTCGTTGGTAAACTTCCTCTGCGTTTTGCAGCCCGACCAAAGCGCCCTCATCGGTAAAAGACTTGCCGCTGGCCTCTCCGCTTGGAGTTTGAAGCCATCTTTCGTGAATGTATAGGAGATCGCTGTCGAGACGGTACGCCACGTCGACCACTTGCGCCTGGCTGCGAACAAAGACTACCTGAGTACGTGCCGTGCTTGCATGCAGTGCAAGTAGACCGCGAAGCGTCTGCGCTACCCCTTGAGCTCCCGCCGTCTGAGGCACCTCTACTGCTTCCGAACATTGCAGGCGGTGGCGAAGCTCCTCCACTGGATCCCAGAGCAGGCCATGCTTCTGAAGAATATCCCACAGTACATCGGG